CTCAATAGGGAAAATGTCATGTCAAGCAGTGGACTTTTAGCAAGTGGCATGTTACCTAAGGCATAGTTTAGCAAGAAAAATTTAGCAATTGATAGGCTACCTTGAGGTGTAGTTAAAGTTAACAAACTTATTTAAAGAACAACAACTGACAACCCTATTGTAGGCAGTTATAAATGTAAAGTATAATGTATTACTAAATGCAAAATAGTATTTAAGTTAGTAATAAGAGCATGTATGTATAAAGAAAAATTATTATGAATTTACCTTCATTTTCACCCTTAGTTTTTATACTCTGTAATTACTCAATACATATTCCTCAGCTGAGCAATCTCAGGAGAGTGGATGATTTTGTAATCCAGAGTTGCTCATGGTAGTGTAAGAACAGTTGCATGACTGTAGTGAAACAAAAAACCAGATCTACTCTAGTTTCCATTGACAAGCCTAGATAGTAATTCATGCTCTTCTAGCAAATAATTTCTTTTATTCCAAGGATTAATTTACTGAACAGAAATTACTGGGTACTTTGGCACGTACAGACACATCTCTGTGGAAGTGCTGTCCCTTGCCTGAGTAGCAGAACTCCAAAGATCTGCTCTAGCAGAACACATAACATGATATCAGGAAATGGCAAAACTCTTCCACAACTGTTCTTCAAACTGCATTTCTAATGAGCTCAAGCCAGAGCTCTCCAGTAGTTTACTTATTACTTATAGCAGGGACCAACCAAAGATGGTGTTCAGGGGATTTACTGTGCCAGGCCACTAAGATTGCACTGTTACTGCCTTTCTGTGGCAATAACTCCAAGCTCTCTTTGCACTGCATGCTGTTAAGGGCACAATTCTCATATTAAGTTGAGTAGGGAATGTCACTATATATTAAACTTAACTGCACAGAACATAATTGAACTCAATGGGAGATACTGCCCTCTATGTTTCAGTGGGACTTGACTTTGAAGAAACAATAATTCACTGGTTTATAAAGACACAAATAAACTTATTATACAAGAAGTGCAGGTGCAATACTGTGATTTATAGACACTGGTATGATTCACCTTGAGATTTTTGTTGTATCTTGCCAAAAGCAGCTATTATCAAACCCCAAATGACTCTTAACAACACTGCTATCGACGTGGCATTTAGAAGTTCCTTCTCTAGTGGGAACAAAACCATCTCTTTTCTTCCAATGTTGAAAATTAAATGCACAGCATTAACACCATCAGTGAGGTGTTTAACTTCAAAATTGCCTTTCCTGGTGAGAATGAAAATAGTACCTCTTTTGTTTTTCAAAATTAACAGCGGTGTTTTTCTCTCTTTTCTAACATACATACTTATCAACCTGAGACACAGTATATCTCTTAGTGCTCACAGAGTACTAAGAGTATATAGTACTGGTATTCTTGTCTGTGCACATCATCCCATACTCTAGGAGGAGGATTTATCCTGTTTCCAGTGTGATTCAAACACACATTAATAAAGTAGAAAGAATATGACTGGAAAAAAGCAGGTAGGGAAGACAAAAGGCTCATTTTTAAGTCATCTTTGTACCAGCAACAATACATTGATGCAGCAGTAACACCAGAGAAAATTAACCCAAAATTAAAGCATAAGGCTCCAGAAAGGTATCAGACCAGAGAAGTTCACTACAACCAAAGACTGTTGTGAGCCATTCTACATGTGCGCAAAACTGTTCCTGATTTTTCTCCAGATGTCACCAGTATTTTGTTTTCACATTTACAGCCAGCAGGCAAAGAGGTGAAATGGTGCTCTGTTAATTTGTCCTCTGGGCAAAGGAGTAAAAAAAAAAAAAATCTGGGCAAGAGTAAATTCTTTTAATCAGTCTTTTAGCCACTCTAGGACTGGATAATGTGCTGAGTCTCCAACACTTCCCAGAACAATTCTATTGTAGGAGTCCAGCACTCACAGGTGAGTCCATACATGCACATGGGGTGAGTGGAAGCACTCACAAAGCCCTGAGGTGTGGAGTCCTGTCTCTGTGGTTTGGCTGTCATTAACCCAGCAACACCCTAATATGACTCCTGGAGATCCCTCTGAGTGTATAAAATGTTCCCATCACCATCCTGTGGAATCTAACCCTCCCCAGCTCCCACTCTTAACTAGTATATGAGCAGCTCAACATGGACTAGTCCTTAGTTCACTTGGCAACTCAAATGCTTGTGGAGGAGGACAGGACATTCTTGTCTGCACTGCTTGCTCCTCTTCTTCTGCAAGAGTACAGACAATTCTGCTGCAGCTGCTCAGGCTTGGTTGAATTACTGCTGTCTCTGAGGAACAGATCTCAACCAGTTTCATTAGAAAGCAAACTGGTTCACTGAAGAGCATAAACAGGCTGGCAGAATGGATGATCTTGGCTGAGGTGCAAACTTAGACCTATGTTTGTCAAGGATTCCATTCACCCTTCCCTTCTAAGGTCTGTATGGACCATGAAGTCAAGAACTGTGGTATCACAGACTCAGAGGTCTAGGAGACAGGCCCACCTCACCTCTAAGCAGAAACCCTAATGTGACAGATCATGCCCTTCCTGTATTTGAGCCTGTATTTCAAGATAACCACATGTGGGACTGATACAACTAATGCCTGGAAACCAATGTGATGACCACAGTTTCTAACCTTTCTGACACTGTTTTGTAACACACCCATTCCTCCAAGACACCCACAGCAGAGAGGGTATAAACTTTCTGCCCTTTTCTTCAGCCCCATCCCATTCATTACTGTTCCCTTGCTCCCTGTTACTGAATTATTCTTGCCAATGCACAAGATAACATTGTGAGGCCTAACCAGGAAAGCAAAGAAAAAACATTTCCATTCTAACAATGGATAAAGAGCAAAAGTGAATTGGACTTCTTTTTTCTAAGTTCATTTCCTTAATCCCTTAGTTTTTGCTCCATAGAGGTACTCTTAGTTAAACCACTACACAATCATTTCCACAAAATAAGACATCTAAGTCATTAAGGAGAAATAGTCCTTCCTTCAATGCAATCTCTCCTGTAGTCCAGTTCATGATGACATGTAGGTGTTAAAAACTGAAAACTTAAGCAAACCCAGACTTTTAATCTAGGAGAAAAAATCAATACAGCTCTCCAGGGACAATCTTTGGAATTCAAAATTCTTTCCTCTTTTGCACTAATTCAGCAAGCCCTATCTTGGCAGATGGAAGCTTGCAATATTTTCACAGTGTGCTTATTACTTTTTCACAGAGAATTGTTCAAATGGTCTTGAATCAAATTCTGGAGTAATGTTTTGCAAACTAAAGACAACCTACAGAGCTGCAAGAGTAATTAGCTGAACCCTTTGTAGCCAGCAGTCCTCATTTAATGCTTTCTCAAAAATGCTACAACAACCCATGTCCTTGTCACTACCTTTTTGTCACATGCCAGTGTTGTAAAACCTGGAATATGTCCAGATTATTTTAAGTCAGGATAAGTCTTTTGTGCAAGCCATCAGGAAAGGACACCTAAGCAGGCGAACAGGCAACAGCTAGCATCCCTTAGTACATCCATGTACACATTGCTAACTTGGCAAGTACTCAAGGTCCACATATCCTATACCTAAACTATCCTCATATAATATTAAAATTCATGCCTATAGGTCAAAATACCCCTGTCCAGGTGAAGACCCCTTCCCAGAGCACTGGATAAAAGTTAGCTGGGGTTACATAACTTGTATGGAAATTATTAACCAACCATAACAGAGGGGCTATCCTTGGAAAGTAACTAACTCCAAACTTCTGTGTAGCAATAATGGCACAGAAAGTCCAGAGGCGCATACTTGATTTGTGGAATACCACTGAGCACCCAGGCTTGTGCAACTCTGAAATAATAATTGTTTCTCCTGAGTATGCAATTATTGTCCTGTTGCACACCAGGTAACAAATCCGATTGTATGGACAACACTGAGGAGGAAAGGGGGAAAGGACCTGAAGGTCCTTTTGCTTTCACCTGTGGAAGATGATCTGAGGGTGCTGGTGGAACATGAATCAGCAACACAGGAGCCAACAGTTTGCTCAGGTGGCCAAGAAGACCAGTGGCATTCTGGCCTGGATCAGAAATAGTTTAGCCAGCAGGAACAGGGAAAGGATTGCCCTTTTGTACTCAGCACTGGTGAAGCCACACCTCAGCTGCTGTGTCCAGTTATGGCCACTCAGTGCAGGAAGGACATTGAGGTGGTGGAGCAAGGCCAGAGAAGTGAAATGAAGCTGGTGAAAGGTCTGGAGCACAAGTGTTATCAGGAGTGGCTGAGAGAGGAGGGGTTGTTTAGAAGAACAGAAGCTCAGGGGAGACCTTATGGCTCCAACAACTACCTATGTCTCCTACAATTACCTGAAAGGAGGCTGTAGCCAGGTGGGGATCGGCCTCTTCTCCCAGGCAACCAGTGTCAGGATTAAAGGACGCAGTCTTAAACTGCGCCAGGGGAGGTTTAGGTTGAACATGAGGACTTTCTTCACAGAAAATGTTGCGAAGCATTGGAACAGGCTATTCAGGGAGGTCTGGAGTCACCGTCCCTGGGGGTGTTTAAAGGAAGACTGGGACTTTCTTCACAGAAAAGGTTGCGAAGCATTGGAACAGGCTGTTCAGGGAGGTCTGGAGTCACCGTCCCTGGGGGTGTTTAAAGGAAGACTGAACGTGGCACTTAGTGCCGTGGTCTAAGTGACAAAGCGGTGTTCGGTCAGGGGTTGAAGCCCGTGATTTCAGAGAACTTTTCCAGCCTAAGTGATTCCGTGATTCTGAGGTAAAACACCAACTAATCCCCCACGAACTCCGACCTCAGCAAGCCTGGAAAAAATCAACCCGTAAAGCAGAACTTTTGTTCACGTTTCCCCATCACAATGCAGGGCTGACAGCCGAGCCCAGAGCGCCTCTTTTCCGCCGGCACCCGGGGGTGTGCGGGTGGGCCGGGCCATGGCCGGTTCCGGTTCACGGCCCAACCCGCCCGCTGCTCTCCCTTTCCCTTCCGTTCCCTTGCCGCCCGGCCCACGCGGATGTGAGCTCACGGCGCGCCGGGCGGAAGCAGCGGGGCGGGTGTTTCCGCGGCGGCGGCGATGGCGGGGAAGGCGGCGGGCGAGCCCCTGGGGCGGACGGCGGAGGAGGCGGCCTGGGCGGACACGCTGCGCGGGGCCTGCGAGCCGGAGCACCACTGGCGGTACCGCCGGGAGTTCCTGCTGCGCAACGTCGGGGAGCTGCCGGCGGCGGGCAGCGCCCAGCTGCAGCGCCTGGTGTCCCTCTCCATGGTGTGGGCCAACCACGTCTTCCTGGGATGCCGGTGAGTTCCGCGGGACGCGCCGGGGCACGGCGGGACGGCGCGGCGCGGCCGTGTGACGAGGCGCCTTCCCTCGTTTGCTCTTGTCGCCCCTCCAGGTACCCGCCGCAGGTCATGGAGAGGGCGCTGGAAATGGCCGAAGGCATCCAAGTGACCGACGCGCCTGTCCGCACCACGAGAGACGAACTGGTTGCCAAGGTGAAGAAAAGAGGCATATCAAGTAGCAATGGTTAGCAGATCATAGCTGTGACAATACATAGGAGTCTAGAAAATGCTTGTTTCTGAATGTTCTCGGTTTGCCTCGGGCTTAGAAAGTAGTCAAAATAATTTACTTTTTAAACTCCCGCTAATAGTCTCCTCTCTCTGTGCTATTCTTTTTCTAATATAACGTCTCTAAAATGCACATAATGTGTACATAGTCATTTGGCAATGTGGAGCTGTTGTTTTGAATTTCTGCAGCTGGTGCACTTTAATCTGATAACTTGTGTGTTGTAATATGGGCTGCTGTGCTCCAGTTTAAATATGTTCTTGTTACCTTGCCATTGTTGCTGTATAAGAAACTGAATTTCTTAAAGTAATTATCAGACTAATGTTTTAAAAATATTTTGTGATATTAGTAGACAAAATACACTTCTTTTATTTTTAGATCAGATAACCCATTTAATGTATATTGGCCAGTTTTGGTTTGGACTTCAAGAATAGAAATACATACTTGGGTCCAAACCAACATGTGAAATCTCGCATGGGTATTGTCTGGATTTTATCAAAAAAACCTCAAAATTCTGAAATAGTAGGTTAATACTTGAAATGACAGTTCAAGGTGTATTGCTAATATATACCCTTTAAATTCACAGAGAATATTGCTAGAAGGTTTTAGATTATTTTTCTCTACATGGTTATTTGATAGTGCAGAAATCAAAGAGGATCACATATTTTACCTGTTTTGCAGAAGGGGTAGAGGAGCCCTGCAAGAGACAAGCTGTGGAGAAAAGCAGAGACTCTAAGGATGTTGGAAAGGATGTGAAAACAACCAAGGCAGAAGGAGTGAAGGAAACAGAGAGCACCTTGCCCAAAAAGCAGGAAAAAGGTACTATCAAAGATCCAGAAACTTCCCAGTCAACTTGCAGTTCAGATCAAGAAATGGTCACAGTTTCAGACATGGAAACAGAAGGAAAACCTGCTAATGCTGAAAGTACTGCTGAGCAAAAGCCACCTTCATCTGAAAAAGAGCCAGGAAAGAAGCCTTGCTCAAGCCCACCTAAGGAAAGCAAGTGTGAAAATGTGCCATCACCTGAAAAGAAAACTACAGCAAGTGTAGCGCCACTGGCTGCCGAGAGCACCCCTCAGGCAGCAGCAGTGGAGGCGGCGCTGCCACCAGCTGCCAAGAGCACCCCACAGGCAGCAGCGGTGGCAGCAGCAGTGCCATCAACCTCCAAGAGCACCCCACAGGCAGCAGCGGTGGCAGCAGCAGTGCCAGTGACCACCAAGAGCACCCCACAGGCAGCAGCAGTGCCACCAACCACCAAGAGCACCCCACAGGCAGCCGTGGCAGCACCAGCAGTGCCACCAGCCACCAAGAGCACCCCCCAAACAAGTGCTGCGTTGCTGTCTTCCAAAACCCAGGTGGGTGCCCCAGCATCGGTGTCCAAGAACGGTGCTCAGGTGAGCAGCTCGCTGCTCCTGGCCCCCAAGAGCGGTGCTCAGGTGGGTGCCTCGCTGCTGCTGGCTTCCAAAGGCCCGGCTAAGGTGGGCTCCCCGCTGCTGGCCTCCAAGAGCAGCGCGGAGGTGGCCGCCTCGCTGCTGGCCGCTCGGAGCGGCGTGCAGCCGGGCTCCTCCCTGCTCGCTTCCAAGAGCAGCGCTCAGGTGGCGGCTTCGCTGCTGGCCGCTCGGAGCGGAGCTCAGCAGGGGCCCTCCCGGGGTGGAGCTCAGCCAGGTGGTTCCGTGCTGGCCTCCAAGAGTGGCTCGCAGGCAGCTGAAAGCCCTGCGAAGGCTTTGTGCAAACCGCTGACCAGCGAAGACGCAAAGGAAAGACAGCCTTTCTTCAACAGACTCTACAAAGCTGTAGCCTGGAAGCTGGTTGCTGTTGGAGGCTTCAGTCCTAATGTAAATCATGCAGAACTTCTAAATTCGTCTATTCAGTCTGTAAAAGCTACGTTAGATGTTGCTTTTGTTCCCCTGAAGGAACTTGCAGACTTGCCTCAAAATAAAAGCTCTCTAGAAAATATCGTTTGTGAACTGAGGTGCAAGTCTGTCTACTTGGGTACTGGCTGTGGTAAAAGTATGGAAAATGCCAAAGCAGTGGCTTCAAGAGAAGCTCTGAAATTATTCCTCAAGAAGAAAGTTATTGTGAAGATATGTAAAAGAAAATACAAAGGTAGTGAAATTGAAGATTTGGTGCTTCTGGATGAAGAGTCAAAACCTTCAAATTTGCCTCCAGCTTTAAGAAATCCTCGTGAGATCTTGTAGGGGAGAATCACTGTACTGTGTATAGTATTTCAACACAAGGACTGAAGGTTAATTTTGTACTTTGAAAATGTAGGCTTCCAGATATTTTGTATTTCTTTCTCAGTTTTGCAAGACAATGATAGTTCTTTCACTTGGTAGCAATTGTATAAAACTTGTTAGAGATGACAAGTGCGCATTTAAAGGTATTGCCTTAATATACAGCACACTAGTGTGCTGTTGTATTTGCAAAATAGTCTACCTAACTCTTCTATTTTTAATTAAATATTAAGGTACAATTTGCTGTTTAAAACCTGACGTTTTTGTAATTCTTACAGTTTGATGGTAGTGTGCTCAATTGTCTACCATATCTTTTCTAGGCTCGTAGAAGTGTGTACATAGGGACCATAATACTTGAATAATTGAAAATTGTTTAAAAATTTCAATCAAATTTGAAATATATGTTTCAGGCTTGTTGCTCATAATGTTCACTGTTGCTCATACTAGGAGAGAAAGTAGTTGGTTGACTATTTTCATGGGATGTTTTCATAACACTTGCAATATAAGTGACGCCCTGATCCCATTTAACATTATGCTATCAGGTTAGAGCCCTTTTAATATCACATTGGCAAATTAGCAATTAGCAGTCAAACCTCTGCTATTTCGGCCACCAAAACTGTAAGCAGATTTAATTTATATGGTGAAGTATCATTTACAGTTTTGTTTGGTACTTTTTTTTTCCAAATGAACATGGATTTCTATACTAAGTATATTTTGACTGCTACTAAAACAATAAAACCTCTGTGATAAGCATCTGTAGTATTTTGGTTTTGGCTACTAAATATTCCAGCCATTTCAATAACATTGCAACACCTTCAGTAAAGCTTTACATTGAGTAACTTCAAGGTGTAATCCCACGAGAATTAGTTGGTTTCTTTAGATGTGTAACTGAAATACTGTTAAACTAATAGAGGGGACCTGTAGAATATGAATTTCAACTTTTGTAACACCAAGGTAAGCAAAATGAAATTGTTGCTGTCTGCTGGAGGCTGCAGGTATGTTGTAAAGCATTCATTCTAATCAAGCCCTTCCTTTGCTACATTTTTACTCCCTGTACAGAATAGTTTGAGGCAAAGTGAGAGATTACCTTTTATTTTCAATGTTGCTGAAATACCTGCACAAACTGCATGTTTTGGTATATTGAATAATGACATGTAATTGTAAAAACATAATGTCTTCAGTGCTATTTTGAATTAATCTTGTCCTATTACAGTAGTTAGCATCATTTAGTGGTGTCCTTACTCTTGACTGACAGATCCATTGATCAAGCACTAAAGGAATGAATTCTGGGATCTCAGTAGTACATACGTCCACTTTCAGTTCTTTTGTGAGTTTTGGCACTAAACCACGGTGGTGTTCACGCTGTGCCCTGTGTGCTTTTGAACAGCAGTGGCTGTCCAGTCCGTAGCACCAGAAGCCTGCAAGGCGCTCGCACTTCCCGATGGCTGGTTGAGAACTGCCTCCTGACCCCTGTGCTTCTGTGCCCTCGGTCGCCCTTCGCCCTAGTTAGATTTCGCTAAAGGAATGAATAGGAGTTTCTGGGATCTCAGTAGTACATACGTCCACTTTCAGTTCTTTTGTGAGTTTTGGCACTAAACCACGGTGGTGTTCACGCTGTGCCCTGTGTGCTTTTGAACAGCAGTGGCTGTCCAGTCCATAGCACCAGAAGCCTGCAAGGCGCTCGCACTTCCCGATGGCTGGTTGAGAACTGCCTCCTGACCCCTGTGCTTCTGTGCCCTCGGTCGCCCTTCGCCCTAGTTAGATTTCTCAGGAGTTCCCCCCGGCATTCCTGGAGCACCACCTGGCGTTCGGAATGCAGTGTGCTAAATTGTGTCTTAGTGCAAGAATTGGTGTCTGCTTCTAGCGCAGGGCAAGCTTCGTGCTGTGCTGAGGAGCTGTGGTATTCATGATGGGAAGTGTGGGATCTGTTTTCAAGTCCTTACCCTGTTCAGGTAGACACAGGTAAGGACTGTGCTTGTGAGCCAGGAGTTGCATCCTGTGCCCTCTACAGATCTCTGGTTCAGAATTGCAGCACGTGCTGTAATGTGAAAACCTGTGTTTCTCGTCTGTAAAGCAAAGCTCTCAGTATTCACTGACCTCAAGGGGCTGTTAGGGCAACTGTGTTAAAAGGCTGAGGTGCTAGATGTCTTTTTTAAACGACCTGACTTAGAATTACTTTTTTAAAAAAATTTGAATGTTATTCCTCTTTGATGTTTGGTTGTGAATCATTAAAGAACAAGTCTGTAGCTACTCTTAACAGAAACTGAAAGCTGAAGCGTGTTATTTTTATTTCACATTCTGCATGGAAAGCAGCTAAACACACGGATTCACATACAGGTGAATAAGCACTTTTAGAGTATTCAAATGAGAATTTACTAACATTTCATTAGCCCTAGAGGAACAAAGAAATTTAAAGAACTGGCTGTGGCAAGAAGTGTTTGTGCAGTCCTGTCAGTTCTAAACTCCTGTGTCTCTCCTCCAGGTACTGTCCTGGTCTCTGGGCACTGGGATGCTGGTTTTTTACTGTCAGACCCCCTGACGGGCCAGGGACAACACCTGCACTTACAGTGTCGGTGTGCAGAGTTGTCCCAGGGGGACAGGCAAACCGACCAACCGAAAGGAAAACGGACCCCGTTTTTCCTACGGAAGTACGGGAAATCGCAGCCATCGGAAAGTGACTCCCGTTTCCTCTGGGCGCTGCTAGCACAGTCCAAGCCCGTAGGGCCGGGTCCTTGCGGACACCGCCCGCTGGTGCAGCTGGCCGCTGGGGCTGCGGCCGTGCGGGCCGCGCCGCCGCCGCTCCCGTGCGGCCTGAGGGCGCTGGGGCTGCGGCCACAAGGGGCGGGGCCGAGGCGCTGTATTTGCATAGCGCGTTCCCGGCACCGCTCCGTTCCCCCGCGGTCTCTTTCTGCGGCCGTCCGGGGCCGTAGCGCCCCTCGGGGGGCGGCCAGGCCACCTGCCCGCTGTGCATCGCCTGGGGAGACTAGCAGGGAGGCAAACGCAATGTAAAGAAAAAAAAATTAAAAAAAAATCTCACCCTGCCCTCGAAGGTATCCTGGCTGCCGCGGTTTATATATCCTCATTGGGTGCTGAGGATGCCGGGATGTTCTGAAGACCTGCTCGCTAGGCCACGCACGGAGGACTTGCGTTCCTCATGGGCCGCGCGCCCGCCTAGGGGAAAGTCCCCGGACCGCAGGCAGAGAGTGCCGGGCGCTGCCGCGCCCCCGCCCGCCGCCGCCTCACTCACCCCGCCGAGACGCCCGCGGGCCGAGCGGATGAGCGCGGGGCGGGCTCTCGTCACGGCCACAGACACGCAGGTAGCGCGGCAGGCGCGCCAACAGAACGGGGCTCACTCTCAGGCCATCCTCTTTTGCCGGCGGGGCGGCACGGGGCGCCTCAGGGCTGGCTGGTGCCTCCCTCAGCCTTGCTTGGGCAAGAGCGTGTGGCGGCGACCCGCTGCTGCCCCGCCAGTGGCGTGCAGGACCAGCGGGCCCGCAGGTGCCTCCTGGCGCGCAGCATTATTAAAGTTGGAAAAGAATTGGGATCATCGAGTCCAGCCGTTGACCGAACACCATCTTGTCAACCAGACCACGGCACTAAGTGCCGTGTCCAGTCTTTCCTTAAAAACCTCTAGGGACGGTGACTCCACCACCTCCCTGCGCAGCCTGCTCCAATGCTTGGCAACCCTTTCTGTGAAGGAATGTCTCCTATTGTCCAACCTGAGCACATTCTGTTGGGGAGGCGCTTCGGGCGGAGCACTCACTGCCTGAAAAGGCTTTCCCCCCTTCCCTGCTCCAGGAACAGCAAGAGGCCCGGTGGCAGTTCCCTGCCGCGGGCACTCGGCCCCGCAGAAGTTCCTGGAGCACCCACGGGAGGGCTCGGTGCTGTCGGAGCGTGGGCACAAACGCTGACACAGCACCGGCTACAAGCACAGCGGGCTCTTAGCCAGGCTGTGCTGTGCAGGGCGTACCTACCCCCGGGATCCCCTGCTCCACCTGCTCTGCCAGTGCATGCCACCAGTGTTATTTGCCCACTTTAATTAGATGCTCATGCTTAAACTCCCAGGTGCCAACTCGCCAAGATGCTGCTGCCCTGCTGAAAAACTGAATTAATTTCATAGGCAGTGCTGCTTTCGCCTCTAGTATGTCAAGCAAATAGCACATCATCATGCCCCACTGTGGAATAAAGCCCTCTGCTGCACTACAGTCATGTCTGGGCATATAAACCATGACAGAAGAGCACCGGCAGAGATCCCCAAAATGACATAAAATTCGGGCATCTTAGACCCAAAACAAATTGTTTATTACCTTACCCAAATTATTTTTGGGTATTTTACCCTAAAATATTATTTTTTAAAATAATATTTTAAAATAAAATTTTTAAAAATTCTTTTTGTTATTTTACCCTAAAAGCTCCCAAGCAGCCCAGAGACAATGCTTCCTTCTGGTTCATTCCATCTTGGTATTTTTGAAGTTTCTGTAGTGAGCCCAGGTCTGCTAAATGGTGTCTTTCTCTTTGGCTGAGCCTCAGACATGTGGCCTATATGCAGGCACAGCACAGTTTGTAAACCCTGTTATTTCCTACACCTGCTGTTCCTCTCCCAGCAATATCCTCATGGTGACCTCTTTCCAGCCATGTCAGAGCCCCACAAGACAGAGGAGACCAGCATGCAGAGCAGAGAGCACCTCTGCAGAGTTGGTGGTGGCAGCTCTGAGTGCCTCACAGGAGAGCCCCGAAAGGGTGCACAAGAAACCACCTGGCCTGAGCTGTTATTTTGGCTGCTGTCATAGCCACTGAACTACTCCAGTGCCTTTCTTTTCTCCTGTGATCCTGCATGTGATCACCTATATGTATGTGGGGAAAGAGAGATTTCAAATTAAAACACTATCAAAGAACCCATCCCCAAAGAAACAACTAAACTGGGGCACAGCTCTATGAAGTCTTGTTTTTTTGGCCGAGAAACTGTGATGAAATCTCAGTGTCCCAGTTTCACCTACTAAAAGGATGTATTTAAAGCTGTATGAAGCACCTGCTATACAGGCTAAAGACCACATAAAGCTTGCGGAGACAAGCTGAAGCTTGTGCAGTGACTGATGTGTGTTTGTTTTTTTCTTTTTTTGGCCCTAAAATTGCACCATAGCACCTTAATGACTTGAACTGGTTCTGTGCATGTGTGAACAAAATGGTCTCACTTGTAGGTTATGGTAAATGTTGGTCTTCAAGTTTGTTAGCAGGAGACAATATGTCAAACATCAAACTTCCCTAGCCTATAGGTTAAACTAAGCTGACATGACATGGTCTAGTGGTCCAGAGACTGAGGGAAAAAAGTGGACATTGAAAGAATTTTGATGCTGTCTCTCTCTTTCACTGGGCAAATCTGTCCCCGAGCTTGTAAGTTGCAAAATACAGAGAAAATATCTGTATTTTTAAAGTTTTTCTTTCAGCTAGATTTTATAGAGACTGAGGGAAAAAAGCGGACATTGAAAGAATTTTTATGCTGTCTCTCTCACTGGGCAAATCTGTCCCCGAGCTTGTAAGTTGCAAAATACAGAGAAAATAAAAGCAATATCTGTATTTTTAAAGTTTTTCTTTCAGCTAGATTTTAATTTTTGCAATCTTTTTGCATAATGTATAATATGCCATGCTCTTTGTTCAGGTAACAACAATTAACTTGTGTTTGTGTACGTGCCTTCTAGATGGTTCTGTTAGTTGCCACTGCCACAGCAAAGGCACTGCCATTAGGTAAGTTAA